CCGTTTTACAACTGTTGTATTAAGGGACGCGGTTGGACACCACTCATTTTAAACAGACTTAAGTCAGTTTTGAAATTGAAAACAGTTTGGTTTGAATACCAAAAGCAGCAGACATTCTGTTTAAACATTAGGAATGGTTGTAATTTGTGGTTGTGCTCATGAATCAAAAACAGTTGTAAATATGTCTGAATATTAGGTACACCTGTGAGAATTTCTTTATTAGAAACAGCTGATAATTTTTTTTTTTTAAATCAGAGACAGCTGCAGTTGTGTTTTGTATACAAAACAGCTGTGTTTTGATAACATAAACACTGATAGTAGTATATGGATATCAGACAGCTGTAGTTATGATTCGATATCAGAGACAACTAAGTTTGAGTTTAAACATGAAGACTATCATAATTGCCTTTGATATTACAGACAGCTATGGTTATTTTTAAAAGTCACATATAAATGTGGTTGTTTTCTGTAGTTACAGACAGTTGTGGTTATGTTTAAAAGTCACATATGAATGTGGTTGTTTTCTGTAGTTATAGACAGTGTAGTAATGTTTAAAAGTCACATATAAATGTGGTTGTTTTCTGTAGTTAAAGACAGTTGTGGTTATGTTTAAAAGTCACATATAAATGTGGTTGTTTTCTCTAGTTGTATACAGTTGTGGTTATGTTTAAAATTCACATATAAATGTGGTTGTTTTCTGTACTTATAGACAGTTGTGGTTATTTTTAAAAGTCACATATAAATGTGGTTGTTTTCTGTAGTTATAGACAGTTGTGAATAGGTTTGATGGCACAGACAGCTATGTTTTTTTTTTTAACATCAGGGTAGTTGTGACGTTTTGGTAACCAAAAACAGTTGCAAGTTGTATTTCTGTAACACTTCTGGTTGTATTTAGTTATCTGTGACATTTGTGGTGCTTAGTCTCCATTGATAACTGTGACTGTGATTGGTAACCAATGATAACTGTGGTTGTGTTTGGTCACCTATAACACCTGCATTTGTGTTTGGTCACCTGTTACAACTGCAATGGTGTTTGGTCACCTAAGACACCTGCATTTGTGTTTGGTCACCTGTCACAGCTGCAATTGTGTTTTAGTCCCCTATGACACCTGCATTTGTGTTTGGTCACCTTTGACTCCTACAAATGTGTTTGATCATTTGTGACACCTGTGACTGTCTGGTCACCTGTGATTGTGTTTGGTCACCAGTGACACCTGTGATTGGGTTTAGTTATCTGTGGCACCTGTGATTGTGTTTGATATCTTTGATGTCTGTGATTTGTGTGGTCACCGGTGACACCTGTGATTGTGTTTGGTCACAAGTGACACCTATGATTAAGTTTGGTCTCAAGTGACACTAGTGATTGTGTCTGCTAATATTTTATATCTGTTATTGATGTAGTCACGTATGACACCCATGATTGTATTTGGCCACCTGTCACACATGTGATTGTGTTTGCTCATCAGTGACACCTGTTACTGTGTTTGGTCACCTCTGATGTTTGGTTATTTGTAACAAATGTGATTGTTTTTGGTCATCAGTGACATCTGTGATTGTGTTTGGTCACCTGTGATTGTATTTGATCACCTGTGACTGTGTTTTTGGGTGATACCTGTGATTGTGTTTGATCCCCTGTGACAGCTGTGACTGTTTTTGGGTGATACCTGTGATTAGGCATGGTTACCTGTGACACCTCTTGTTGTGTCTGAACGTCAAAAACCTTAGCAGCTGGAAAGTGACAAGAGACAACTGCAGCTGTGTTCAGTTATTCCAGACAGCTATAAGTATAATTCATCTTCAGTAACAGCTGTTTTATTGTTTTATAAGACTTCAAACAGCTGAACAGTAATAACAGTATTATATATCAGACAACTAAAGGTATTTAAAATATTGTCATTTCGGTAACATTTTGCTTAATTGTTAAAAAGTCCATGTAATGTTAGCTTTAAATATTGTTTTATCAATGTTTTTCATTATGAATTTTGTTCATTCTTTATAATCTCTCTTTTGTTTGTTAAATATCTCAGTTTTAGTGAAAATGTTTTTTTACCTTTGTATTTGCAGTCTGTAAGATTAACATCTCAAAGATGAAAATCCATCAGGTACAACCCTGTTCAGCCATACAACTTATTTATGTTGGACATCACAAAAGGGTTTGAAGTAGCCTGTAGTTCAGTGTAGGTGGGTCTTGAGTTAATAGTTTTCATTACTTTCAATTACTTAGCTCTCTAAAGTCTTTTAGCTTTTTATTATTTTTAATCACTTGAATACCAAGCAGACTTTTTATCTTTTGCCTGGGTTCTACGAATTATGTTGACTTGATAAAATGTATTGTTTTTCCAATTTTGATTTCATCACATTTAGTTTTTTTTTTTTTTTTATAACTGGGATAACCAGAGTAAAATACAATCAGTTTGAATTTGAGCTAAGACTAAAAGTGATAACTATGAGAGGGAAAAAAAAACTGCTTCAAGTTCGTATGATCCGTTTTAAGCAGCATCAATCCGAATAAAATAGAATTTGTGTTCATACATATTATATTAAACCATCTTGGCTGCCAGGTCCACCCAACATTAAGTAGGTACTAGGTGAATCCTGGGAAGTCAAGGCAGGTGGTCCGATGTTCACCACATCACCCATTGCAGATTGGTCTGTAAAATATTGGTCTAGCCCTATATGCCCAGTACGCCTTAAGGCATGGTCAAATGTCCTTTACTTTACTTATTTTACTTATTAAACTTTGAAATATCTTGGTTTATTTTATAGTTTTTATTAAATTAATATTGTTGTTTTTCTATAGTTTTTAATCAAAGATTTGTTTATACCTATGTGTACATTTATATTCGTGTGTCTATTGAAATTAATGTAACATAACTTTGTGTGATATTTTCAGTTCTGGCTATGAAGTCTAGTATGATGTTTCATTTGCAAATATATGTCATATGGTAGTCTCATGTCTGCATATTCTTCACATTGGCAGCACTATCTTGCGACTTGACAAATATTTAGACACATTATACCACAAATCATCCACATAAACATCTTTGGCTACTAGTGGAATATTGTAAAAGACAGTTTGGAATAAACAAACTAAAACTTCACAAACATTGTTTCTTCACAGCAACAAAATTGCTCAAATACAAATAAATATGTATACAAACCAAACAGTACAATGTAATACACTAGTATTTCAATAATGAATATAAATTATCTATAGAAATGACCTATTTTTCAGACTGCCATAGAATGGTAATGAACATAACAATATATTTTTGTTTTATGCGGCTAAGTATCAAAATAACATTTTTTTTTTTTAAACATAAACTTTTTATTTCAATAGATTTATTAAGTATTTCTCACTTCAAAATATAAGACACAACATTAACAAAAGAGGAGAATTTAAAAATTGGTTCATTTCAGTAATTTAAAGTACTTTATAAGTTTTATAAGAATAATTGTACTTGTAAAATTGTGATAACCACCAAAATCAGGAATCATCTGGCAACTCAGTCGTTTGTGAACACTAAAATATTTGCCAACAATATCACTAAATCACAAGGTATGCTGACTGCATCTAGTTTTTATGTCACAAGCCACAAGATTTATTAGATATGTAAAACCTGTATATAAATAGGCTGGATACACAACCTCAGTCATTTGTTACATTACTAGAACACAGGATATATTTACCTTTTCTTATGTATTGTTTTTATCATCAGATTACCAGATTTATTAGATATATCATATCTTCAAATAAATGGATGGCTGCATCTGCTGTTTATGTCTTGTATTTATATTAATAGATTACAAAATATACTCATATATGAAGATGTACATGTGTTTATATCATATCACCATGTCAGTGTCACACAATGTTGAAACCATTTAATGTGTTTCATAGAATATACTCAGCTACATCATGGCTGTATTTTATAATATCACAGAGTGTACTGACCTAATCTGGTTTTCAAAGCACTAGATCGCAGGGTATACAAAATATGTCTAGTGTTTATAGAACTAGATAACAGAATAATAAAGTAATATCTAATTTTTATATCAAGAAGGATATTGTTATATCTAGATTTTATATTGCTAAGTTCCAAGGTATACTTACTGTGTCTTATTTTCTTAGTGCTAGATCATAGAAGCTATTACCCATATCAAGCCTTTTTTATAAAAAACTCACAGAAAATGCTAGCTATATGATATGCTTATTTATACATATAAATTACTAGATCACAAGATATGACACTATAGCAAGCATTATTAGATATCATCATACCTGCATAGTTTTACATGCATTATAGTTTCACATTTTGTCATAGTTTCACATCCAAAATAGATTACTCAACATCATCTTGACTGTGTTTTACCTGATCACAAGGCAGACTAAAATCATGTTTTATATATCTGTCTCCATAAGTGGAGGTACTAGCCTGAATCAGATTCTCATATCAGTTGATGGCCCAATCCACTAACCATGTGTAGCTTTTACTTATATCATTAGAATACAAGATAAATTATATATGATTCTGATATCAGCAGATTACAGGGAATATTATAAGCCACTGTGTTATCATTAGATCACAGGATATATGATATCACATTATTTGATCACATGCTGTGTGAACTAGTGACTTAATTCACAAGGTTTATTATTACTGACAAAACTAGACACAGATAAATGCTGTTTGCTGATATCACTTGTGTGAATTTTGTACACAAACCGGACATGAATGTTCATAATGACCACACATATCTACAAACACTAGCCCTATGAAAGCTGGCCATTCAAAGATATTATTGTGGTCTAAAGGTTAAAGACACTCACATAGCCAATGGAATGTGAAGTGTAAGCCTTTCACACATTCTATACCACAGCATATAAATAAGGTGGGAGGGGTGGCTTGTTATGACCAACAAACTTGTAAATGTTTTTGGGTCACTAGGTGGTGAAGTATCTGACAACATAACAACAGTCTCATCATTCAGTGATGTAGTTAGTAGACGAAGGAAGACTTGATCCCCCTGGCTCCCAGAGGCAAGGGTGGTCTGTAGTTATCAGGGATTGGTGTGGCCCCACAGTCATCACAGCACAGGTTCCTCAGAGCACGCATCTGCAGACAGAATCAAATATGGAGTTTCCACTGAGAATATATAACAGTCAAGCACGCAATGAATACCCTGGGAAATCTGTGTAACATGTATCATGATTTCAGCTCCATCATAGTTTCAACTCATCACAGTGTGTCATATCTATCATCACTGCAAATCCATCATAGATTCACAAAATTTTATTTTCATTTTTTTTATATATAGGTAATTATTTTATCACATTTTTCACTCTGTCATAGTTGCACACACTATCATAGTTTTATATTCTGCCATAGTTTCACATTCCGTCATAATTTCAAATTTTGTCCTGGTTGCAAAGGCAGCATAGTTTCAAATCTTTTCATACTTCCATTTCCAATGTTTGTCATTTTTTGTTACAATGTCACATTTGTTTATAATGTCACATTTGTTTATAGTGTCCCATTTCTAATTTGTTCAGAGTGTTGCATTTCATGGTGTCAAATTTTTTCCATTCTTTTACATTTGTCATAGTGTTATACTTGTCCCATCTGTCACAGCTGTAAACCTGATATAGTGGCATATCTGTTATTGAGTCATACTTGTCACATAGCCTCCACGTGATATAGAGCCACACTTGCTACATCTATTGTCTGTCATTTATATCTTAACTCCACAACCGCTATATTATCATACTTGTTACATCTATCATAGCCTCACACCTGCTACAGTTTCATACTTGTAACACCTGTCCTAACCCCGCACAAACAATAGTGTCACACTTGTTATATCTATCATATCACCCCACCTGCTATAGTGCCATAATTGTAACTTCTTTCATAGTCCCAGACATGCTATAATGTCATACTTGTAACATTATCGTAGCCCCACACTCACTATAGTATTATACTTGTTACATCTATCATAACCTCACACATGCTACAGTATCATACTTGACATATCTATCTTAGCCTTACACCCACAATAATATCATACTTGTCACATCCACCAAAGCCCCACACCTGCTATAGTGTCATACTTGTCACATCCATCAATGCCCCACACCTGCTATAGTGTCATACTTGTCACATCCATCAATGCCCCACACCTGCTATAGTGTCATACTTGTCACATCCATCACTGCTCCACACTTGCTATAGTGTCATACTTGTCACATCCATCAATGCCCCACACCTGCTATAGTGTCATACTTGTCACATCCATCAATGCCCCACACCTGCTATAGTGTCATACTTGTCACATCCATCAAAGCCCCACACCTGCTATAGTGTCATACTTGTCACATCCATCAATGCCCCACACCTGCTATAGTGTCATACTTGTCACATCCATCAATTCCCCACACCTGCTATAGTGTCATACTTGTCACACTCATCAATGCCCCACACCTGCTATAGTGTCATACTTGTCACATCCATCAATGCCCCACACCTGCTATAGTGTCATACTTGTCACATCCATCAATGCCCCACACCTGCTATAGTGTCATACTTGTCACATCCATCAAAGCCCCACATTTGCTATAGTGTCATACTTGTCACATCCATCAATGCCCCACACCTGCTATAGTGTCATACTTGTCACATCCATCAATGCCCCACACCTGCTATAGTGTCATACTTGTCACATCGATCAAACCCCCACACCTGCTATAGTATCTTACTTGTCACATTCATCAATGCCCCACACCTGCTATGGTGTCATACTTGTCACATCCATCAATGCCCCACACCTGCTATAGTGTCATACTTGTCACATCCATCAATGCCCCACACCTGCTATAGTGTCATACTTGTCACATCCATCAATGCGCCACACCTGCTATAGTGTCATACTTGTCACATCCATCAATGCCCCACACCTGCTATAGTGTCATACTTGTCACATCCATCAATGCCCCACACCTGCTATAGTGTCATACTTGTCACATCCACCAAAGCCCCACACCTGCTATAGTGTCATACTTGTCACATCCATCAATTCCCCACACCTGCTATAGTGTCATACTTGTCACATCCATCAATGCCCCACACCTGCTATAGTATCATACTTGTCACATCCATCAATCCCCCACACTTGCTATAGTATCATACTTGTCACATCCATCAATGCCCCACACCTGCTATAGTGTCATACTTGTCACATCCATCAATGCCCCACATTTGCTATAGTGTCATACTTTTCACATCCATCAATGCCCCACACCTGCTATAGTGTCATACTTGTCACATCCATCAATGCCCCACACTTGCTATAGTATCATACTTGTCACATCCATCAATGCCCCACACCTGCTATAGTATCATACTTGTCACATCCATCAATGCCCCACATCTGCTATAGTATCATACTTGTCACATCCATCAATGCCCCACACTTGCTATAGTATCATACTTGTCACATCCATCAATGCCCCACACTTGCTATAGTGTCATACTTGTCACATCCATCAATGCCCCACACTTGCTATAGTATCATACTTGTCAACTATGTCAGACTGATCATAATATCACAAACCTGCTCGGCTGACACGGAGATCTCCTTCTGCAACAAAATCCAGGTGACACTCTCATTACAAGGTGGTGTGGTCAGAGAGCCTTCATAGGTCCAGTATCTGGATGTGTTTTCTGAAACAGAAGATTTCCCTACTGTGAATAACAAGTTACATAATGTGACAGAAGTGCAAAGCCTAGCATGTACATAAGGTATGTTATGTGTTTGTATGTGTGATCCACTGGACAATGGTTTATCCCTTGTGATCTGGTAACATTAAAAAAAAAAAAAAGTTAAAAAAATACATTAAAGGGCGTCACGACTGCATTGGAATTAAATTTTAAAAATCCAGAAATTAGCAACATCAAATTTTTTTCAATGCATAAAGATATAAAAAGGGAATCAACAATAAACTCAAACTGTTTGACAACTTAAGGGAATACATTCTCCCTGGGTGTGGAAAAGCATATGTATACTGAGACATGTTGTGACCTTTATCACTGAGACTAGGGAAACATTTGACAACACAACTTTAAAAAAGCTATTGGGCTCAAAGGAAAATCCCCTTAAATGCTATTTTTAATTAATACATTCATGACCTTTTAAATGTTTGTGCAGGCGCAAAAACAGCCAGTAGCATTAACTGTGGATCTCTTGAAAAGTCATCAAAGGCAAGTCAGAAAATCTATATTTACAGGAAATTGGTCCCAACAAGAAGACGGCCACATCTCGCAGGGCACAAGATTTCCCACTGGCTGTGGTATGTTGTAGGGGTGTCACTTTTTCAATGATATAAGCCTTCTATATTCCTCATTATGAGTGGCCAGCATGTTCTATTTTCCAAGCTGTCAGTGGCTAGCACTGTATGTGTTACTTGCACTGTGGGTTCACTCTTTATTACCATCACTACACTGTCAGTTAGTGACTTGACTTTTGCCATGAATTTCCTTAAAATGTCAGCAATAATGAGCGACAAGCAGAGTAGCATTGCTTTTCTGTAAAGTGGTTCCCTCCCCCTCCCCCTCCCCCTTACCTCGATGGCCTTTTTCAGGGCCTGACAAAAAATGTCACCAATTCTCACACCAGTGACGGCTGCAAAAGAGACATAGTTCAGAGAGAAATAAAAACTAGTTGAAGCCTCCCCCTTGCGGACTGAAAAACAAAGCATGGCTCAATGTTGCCTGGCACGAAAGAGACCTCCACACTTTCGTGTCGTACCTCCAATGAGCAGCAGCTGCTTTCCATGCATGGAGTATATAGAGGGAGGAGGTGAAGGAACACATTTCCTAACACACCTACAACATAGATAAACAGGCCTCGGTATGAATGGGAGTCGCCATGAAATCTCGCATCCCATGAGATACAGGCATCTTGTCGATATGTATGAAATAGGCAAACAGTGTTACAGTGTTATCACCATCATCATGTGTTATGCAGGCAAGCATAGTCAAAGGCTATTCAACAAAGTCTACTCAAGGACCAAAAAGTTGTCATTAGGGTCCAACACTGGCCAGAGGTCTGAGCCCCAGCATAAACAGCTCACGGTGTTTGTGTGCCAATTAAAAAATGTGTCCTAGTTTGCACAGGTCTCAGAAGAGCTGCCCTGCTGTAGCGGCAGGATGCTGGCCTGCTGACTTCCAGGTCGACCTAGCTTTAAATTGTAACCAGCCCAAGTTCTGGGAAGTAAAAATGGCCATCATGATGTTGACCACATCAGCTACTGAGCCTATGTAAAACATGCGCCTACCTTTTTAAAGACATCATGATGTTGACCACATCACCTACTGAGCCTATGTAAAACATGCGCCTACCTTTTTAAAGACATCATGATGTTGACCACATCACCTACTGAGCCTATGTAAAACATGCGCCTACTTTTTTAAAGACATCATGATGTTGACCACATCAGCTACTGAGCCTATGTAAAACATGCGCCTACTTTTTTAAAGACATCATGATGTTGACCACATCAGCTACTGAGCCTATGTAAAACATGCGCCTACCTTTTTTAAAGACATCATTCAGGGTTTATTATTGTAAATTTATTATTATTAGAACTGTAGGCATTAGTCTTTATATAAATGAAATTAGATTTTCCGTACAAAGGAAGGAGAAAAAGGAAAATAAATGTAACTGCACATAGTACAGACAGGTACGAGCTGAACCCAAATGTCTGTTGTTCATACAGTCTCCATTGATAAACAAAAACACATTATACCCCCCAAATGTTTTTTTTTTTTAAATAAAGCTCTGAAGCTAATCTCAGATCTCTATAAGCCAACTGGCACCACTTGATGGGTAATCTTGTAAATAACTGGTTATGGTTAGAAAGTAATTTTTCAAAACAAAATTCTGAAAGTCTGTTACTCCATTTATCTTCAAGTGTTGCATTCTTTGGTGTACCCCAGCACCCTTTATCTGGCTGTTCCCATCAATTACTTTACTGTAAATTACTGCTAAATACACTATGTTATTGTGGAATGAAGCATACCTGGCAGCAGAGAGGCGGGGTTGAAAGGAACACCGGTATCACACTTGCAGCCCTTGCATTTAACTTTTTGGGCATTTTCTGACAGAACTTTGAACCCTGCATGCTCCTCAGCACCAACCTGCAATAGTTAAGTATATGTGCTGATTCTCTTAAACATTGTATGGTCTCTTTACTAGGGCTGTACCAAATAGTGATTTTACTATTCGGTCGAATACGAATAGTGGGACCAACTATTCAGCCAAATACGAATACGAATAGTGTATCATCATCATCAGGTGCCTTGCCGACAGACGTGGGCGATTATGCCTCGCCACAATCTGCGATCTGCTGCAGCATGTATTAGTTCATGTGCTGACACACCTCCATGCCATGCAACAAAACTGTCAAGAATGTTCTCTCGTTGTCTTCTTCTATCCCTCCTTCCACAGATCTTTCTAATGGTCACCACATGTTCCATTTTCCCTCTTCACATAACATGGTCGAAAAATGATGACTGTCTCCTTCTGATGTCTGTGATTAGTTGTCTTCAGGCTCCCGCCTCTTTCAAATCCTATTGGTTGCTTTTTGTGTGTGGCTGTTCAAGGTAATTTAAGCATTGTTCTGTAAAACTACATCTCTGAAGCCTAGAGAAATTGTTTGACCTGCCTACCGATTGTCCAGAACTTACAACCATATGTTAAAACTGGAAAAATAGTAGCAAGGAAGAATTATTTTTCTAACCTTCAATGGCAAAGATATATTGCATAAGATGTTCTTCATTTTATAAAATGCAGTTATTGCGTCGCCTGTGATCTTTTCGACAGTGGTGAGGAAAGTATCTCAAGTATCTTTATGTCTTCTATTCGTATTCGGCCCGACCACAACTATTCGGCCAAATACCGAATAGTCATTCGGTCCACCATTCGGCTCCGAAGCAAATACGAAGCGAATATTCGGTACAGCCCTACTCTTTACTTCTTTGTGTATGAATGTGTGAGTGTCCTCTCTATCTCTTTTCTCTCTCTTTCTCTCTCTCTCTCTCTCTCTCTCTCTCTCTCTCTCTCTCTCTCTCTCTCTCTCTCTCTCTCTCTCTCTCTCTCTCTCTCTCTCTCTCTCTCTCTCTCTCTCTCTCTCTCTCTCTCTCTCTCTCTCTCTCTCTCTGCTGTGCTTCTATGTCTGAACCATGGATGGAGATGTGGCTTATGTGTAAAGGTAAGTGAGTACCATATCAGTTATTGCTGTTGTGGTTTGAAGAGCTGAGCCTTTATAATTTCTAAGCCACAACATACAAGTTGGGGGTAATTTGTTCTTTTCTTCATATCTTCTCCCACAGTTACTACTAAATTCAAAAATATTCTGGTCCAAGGCCTCCACTTTTATGAGACTGACCTTGGAGGTGGTCAGAAAACAAATAATTCTGCATTTGACTGGGCTTGAACTGACTTTTGTCTCAGCAGGTAAATGAACCACTACACCACAGTTGTTACTTTAGGAATGACTATGAAGTTATGTGGGAGCCGGTGTGGTGTGGTGGCTAGATGCTTGCCTGGGGATCAGGAGGTTGTGGGTTCAGGTTTCAGTTTTTTTCTTTAAAAAATTACTTTGGCTCCCTGGTCAACCTAATCTTAAGTGAGTACTAGGTACAGTTCTGGGAAGTAAAGGCAGCTGGTGTGATGTCGACCACATCACCCACTAAGTGCTGATTGCTCTATGACATACTGGTATAGCCATATATGCTCAGTAGCAGGAAGTGTGGAAAAGGCTTCTTTACTTTTTTACTTTTAATGAAGTTACATGCATGTTTTCCTTTGCCTTTGTTTTCCAAATTATGTCAATGCAAAAAACAAAAGCAGCTGGAAATTGTTTGAGCTCTTTTATTTGTAAACTAAGTATTTCTTTTTCTTTTTCTTCTTCTTCTTTTTCTTCTTCTTCTTTTTCTTTTTCTTGTTCTTTGTTCACCGGCTGTAAGTTGCAATAGTAAAATCATGGTTGTTCCTGACTTTGATGAAAGACTCTGTCCCATTAGTCGACTTTTACAACATGCTTGTGGGGAAGCAGAGGGTCTATTTTGTTTTCCCCATAATGGGGGCCTTTAACCCACATGGGGGCCTTTAACCCACATGGGAACCTTTAACCCACATGGGGACCTTTAACCCACATGGGAACCTTTAACCCACATGGGAACCTTTAACCCACATGGGAACCTATAACCCACATGGGGGCCTTAAACCCACATGGGGGCCTTAAACCTACATGGGAACCTTTAACCTACATGGGGACCTTTAACCTACATGGGGACCTATAACCCACATGGGGACCTATAACCCACATGGGGACCTATAACCCACATGGGGGCCTTAAACCTACATGGGGACCTTAAACCTACATGGGGACCTTTAACCTACATGGGGACCTTTAACCTACATGGGGACCTTAAACCTACATGGGGACCTTTAACCTACATGGGGACCTTTAACCCACATGGGGACCTTTAACCCACATAGGGACCTTAAACCCACATGGGGACCTTAAACCCACATGGGGACCTTTAACCTACATGGGGACCTTAAACCCACATGGGGACCTTTAACCAACATGAGGGCCTTAAACCTACATGGGGACCTTTAACTCACATGCGGGCCTTTAGGTATTTAATGTGTAAAGTTTAATTAAGAGGCTATTAAGTATGACTAACTATGTTTCATGTTGATGGATGTAACTTATCACACAGAAGCAGGTCTGATCAAGTTTATTAATGATTCTGAATGCTTTCAGCATCAGTTTAATTTATGTGGTTTTGTCAGCTATGGAAGTCAGTGAGTATCTGATGTAACTTTAGTCATTTCTGTCTGACAGTGATGTCACTCGTACCTTATAGTTATGTCAGTCATGTCAGTTTGTGATTTAGGAAGTGTCAGCCACACAATTTATGTCAGTCTTTCTTACAGTATGGATATATCAGTCATGTCATTTTTCATTTTTTTAGAAACTGTAAACTGCAATTATGTCAGTCATTTTTACGATATAGTTACATCAATCATGTCAGGTTTTGATTTAGGAACTGTCAACTGTGTAAATCATGTCAGGCATTCTTACCATATAGTTATGTCAGTCTTTTCAGTTTTGATTCATTCACTGTCAACTGTGTAAATCATGTCGGTTATTAATGGTATTAGATGCTGTCACTGTGCATTTAATGCTGAATGTTGAATGTTGAATAAAGAATCGACATCACAGCACTTGGTACACTCTCATAAGTGCTCAGTCCCTATCTTCAGCAGCAAGCAAAGAGTTCCAATTTCGATGGTACCAGTAACCGTCTGATTGTATATCCATCTCATCCTTTCCCTGAGTGTTGAGTGTCGGCCAGATCCCCTGGTAACTCCTTGCAGAGCCATTCTCCTTAGCCTCCACACTGTTCACTCGCTCCCAAAGGGCCCTCACAATATCTAACTTGTCATACGTCAATTACCACCAAGTGGTGCAGAGCCAGCCAGTCTATCTGCCTACTCATTTCCCAACACACCGGCAAAACCTGGAGATGACCCACTGGCCTCTCTGCTCCCTCAGAATTATCAAGCCGGCACACAAGTCTGATTGTGTCTTCAGCTTGCGCCATCCAAGACCTTCCTCTTTTCAGTCTGTGACCCTAAGCTGTACCCAGGGTCTCATGCAGGAAGTGCTTCTTGTCTGCAGCTACTCTGAGATATGACTGTTTCATTGTGCATTTTCTGTCAATTATGTTATTGGTTGATGCCATTTAATGGTATGATGTCATGACATTAGTCAACCTGAATCAAAGGTGTATATGATATCCATCCATATTAATTAATAGTGTCCTGTTTGTCAGTGAATGGTGTCAGTGACATTCATATATGTCAGTGAAAGTTGTCAGTGATATTCATGAATTAAACTTGACCAGTATCAGCGATGTAACGATAGAATGAGTCAGTCAGTGATGTCAGTTGCTACATCTGTCATTCATGAGAAATATAACAGTTTGAAATGACAATTTCTAGTAAGTCACCACAAGGAAATAACAGAGAAGACTGTAGGCACCTACCTTAATGAAGACTCCAATAACTGCCAGACCGTCGCTCTGTGTGACTGCCTCTGCAGGACTCTTGTACTTGCTTGCATTGTAGTGGACCAGATGTAGCTGGCAGAGAGCAGGATCACATAGTTATTGTATGACAAAATGCAGAACTGCAACAATTTGAGTAAGGATATGTTTATTAATATTGTTGTTGTCCAACAACAACTGTCCAAGTGGCTAGAGTGTTAGGCTCTCAAGCTGGAGACTAAGGTTTGATCAAGGGGTAGAGATTTATTTCTGTTGGGGACACACACAAAAAGACATTCTAACCTAAAGATGTTTTCCAATGTACCCGTGCATGAGCCAACTGTCCGCCCCCCCCCCCCCCACTGTTGGTTAGTTTTGTATCCTTTACAGGACACTGCAGAACTAATCCCAGCATTTTTTTTTTTTTTTTTGCTGTTGTGGTTTTTCTAGATAGATTTTATGTTCAGTAGTTTGCTATTGCTTTCTGAGCAGTCAAGTCTCGGTACCACTGTCAAAACCAACACAACACAAACTGTTCATGACTGGGATCAAACCTGGCACCATGGCATTACCAAGCGAGTTGAAAACGCCTACGCTACAGATGCCAACAGACCCTTGTATATTGTAGTAAATATAAACAATAAAGACATAGGTTGTTAGGCCTCTTTGGTGCTTCTTTCACATGTGTCCTCAGTTCTTCTTAGTCAACATGAATATCTGAAGGTTTCAATTTGCCATCTATGATTTTACAACCTTAATTTGCATTTCAGACTGTAAATGTTTTGATATTTAAACATAAAATGCTAGATATATAAAGTACAATCAATTGCTGTGTGAAAGATGAGTGTTTGAAAAGGCTGAATATAAGATAGGCCTGTGTGCCTAATGTGTAACCCTTTGAAAATACAAGTTTGTGCACTTGTTTGTTCATTTATTCTTTAGTGTTTGCTGCCAGTCAGGACAACAATCAAAATTCTGTACAATGAGATCTTTCACACTATGGACTTTTCTCCCACCATTGGCAGGCTGGGCCATGGTGCTAAACCCATAATTAAATAGACCAGTTGGCAGCTGATGGGTGGTGGGATCATCATTATGTGGCAGTTGCTGGATGATGGTGCCAACATTATGTTGGTATATGTACTTGTGAGGATATTTTATTAGTATACTGGTGAAAGTAGATGTTGCTAAGTTTCAGGTCATCTTTTCAGCTCAGTATGCCAACATAGGACCATAGGATTTTTTTTTTTTTTGGCTATAGGGTCCCCCGATAGAGGTCACAAACCACACAAAGGCACATGAGTAACTGTGTTATCTTCACAAACCACACAAAGGCAATAAACTGTGTTATCTTCCCATGAACAGGTTAATATAAAAGTAAAGGACCCTTTTAATGTCATTAGCCCATCAGGCTTGATGTTCTTGTAAATGATGAATCGGCATTCAATGAGTGATGTGATCAACATCAGCTGGTTGCTTTTACTTCCTATGACATTTTCTGATAACTATTTTAACCTGGAAGCCTCAGTCAATTATTTGCCTGACTGTGGATCCTTCATCTTCTGCTGCTTAATGTTCAACATGATAAGCTCTTAGAGAAAGTTCTAGTTGTTCGTCCACTTCTGAGCTGGTCAGCAACCATGGCTCCTTGCACTTACATTTCTTCACACTCAGACATACTCAATGTTGCTCAAAGAATACAATAAAATTGGTTTAATAAGTGTTGAGGCAGACCAAGAAGATGATGGAGAGACAATGTCCAGACAGACCTGCAAACACAACCAGAGAGATGAATGGAGGTGGGTTATATCTGCAGCAATGAACCTCAAGGGCTCGGAATGCTGAAGAAGAAGAAAAAGAAGAAGAAGATATAAGTGATGATAACTATAAGTGTTATTGCATAGCTACATGAAGAAGAAGAAAAAGAAGAAGAAAAAGAAGAAAAAGATATAAGTGTTGATGATTATAAATGTTATTGCATAGCTACAGCCCTAAGCTTACACCATGGACTAATCTGATCATTTAGTGATGAGAATGACACCAATGATAATGATGTTTGACTTGTCAACTAAAGATGATGTTTGACTTGTCAACTAAAGATGATGTTTAACTTGTCAACTAAAGATGATGTTTAACTTGTCAACTAAAGATGATGTTTAACATGTCAACTAAAGATGATGTTTAACTTGTCAACTAAAGATGGTGTTTAACATGTCAACTAAAGATGATGTTTGACTTGTCAACTAAAAATGGTGTTTGACTTGTCAACTAAAGATAATGTTTGACTTGTCAACTAAAGATAATGTTTGACTTGACAATTAAAGATGATGTTTAACTTGTCAACTAAAGATGATGTTTAACATGTCAACTAAAGATGATGCTTAACTTGTCAACTAAAGATGATGTTTGACTTGTCAACTACAGATGATGTTTGACATGGCAACTAAAGATGATGTTTAACTTGTCAACTAAAGATGATGTTTGACTTGTCAACTAAAGATGATGTTTGACTTGTCAACTAAAGATGGTGTTTGACTTGTCAACTAAAGATGGTGTTTGACTTGTCAACTAAAGATGGTGTTTGACTTGTCAACTAAAGATGGTGTTTGACTTGTCAACTAAAGATGATGTTTGACTTGTCAACTAAAGATGATGTTTGACTTGTCAACTAAAGATGGTGTTTGACTTGTCAACTAAAGATAATGTTTGACTTGTCAACTAAAGATAATGTTTGACTTGTCAACTAAAGATAATGTTTAACTTGTCAACTAAAGATGATGTTTAACATGTCAACTAAAGATGATGTTTAACTTGTCAACTAAAGATGATGTTTGACTTGTCAACTAAAGATGATGTTTGACTTGTCAACTAAAGATGATGTTTGACTTGTCAACTAAAGATGATGTTTAATATGTCAACTAAAGATGATGTTTAACTTGTCAACTAAAGATGGTGTTTAACTTGTCAACTAAAGATGATGTTTAACTTGTCAACTAAAGATGATGTTTAACATGTCAACTAAAGATGATGTTTAACATGTCAACTAAAGATGTTGTTTGACTTGTCAACTAAAGATGATGTTTAACTTGTCAACTAAAGATGATGTTTAACTTGTCAACTAAAGATGATGTTTAACTTGTCAACTAAAGATGATGTTTAACATGTCAACTAAAGATGATGTTTAACTTGTCAACTAAAGATGATGTTTAACATGTCAACTAAAGATGATTTTTAACATGTCAACTAAAGATGGTGTTTGACTTGTCAACTAAAGATAATGTTTGACTTGTCAACTAAAGATAATGTTTGACTTGTCAACTAAAGACGATGGTTGACTTGAGTTTACCTCGCAGGGATAACTCTTCCCATTGACTGTGTGCTCACTGCCCGTCTTGTCATCATGGCCCCAGTGAAAGTGGAACTGTACCAGCTTGAAGACGTCATTCAATAGTGGACCTCCAGTGATAGCTGAGAGTAATGTAAATGCTAATATATAACCAAGGGGTACTAGAAATCGTTTAGAATGTTTTGGAATAGTTTCAGTTAAGATTACTACATCAAGGAAAATTCTTTTAAAAATGAAAAAGCCTGATAAGAGAGGAAGGGACGACAACAGAGAGTGTCAAAGAGAGAGGGTAAGACTAAACACAGGAGTAAGTAGGAGAAAGGGACATGATCAAGTTTGGGTGAAACATGAACACCTTGACGCATTTGAGAGAAAACAAATTTATTATTCAACTTTATCTTGAAAAAAAAAAAAAAATAGTGAATGCATGCCCTTCTAACATTATGTCCTTGGATTGGAGGTTGGTGATTGAAAAGTCATGAATCTTTCCCCCCAAGAAATGGCAGCTTAACTAAGCAACCTGCATCTAAGGCAGAATTGTGTGTTCCTTTTTGAAAACTTTCTCCTGGGAAGCACATAATTAGAGAAACACGTTGGAAGATTTGCAAATCTTACACAAATGTTTGAATTTGGTTCCTTTTCTTAGAATTTGAAACTGTCCCATTCATTGGAGGACACAGCCTAGCTAACGTATCATCATTCTTAGCTAATGTATTAACATTCCTAGCTAATGCATGAACATTCCTAGCTAATGTATGGACATTCCTAGCTAACGCATGGACATTCCTAGCTAAGGTATAGACATTCCTAGCTAATGCATGAACATTCCTAGCTAATGCATGAACATTCCTAGCTAATGTATGGACATTCCTAGCTAATGTATGAACATTCCTAGCTAATGTATAGACATTCCTAGCTAATGTATGAACATTCCTAGCTAATGTATAGACATTCCTAGCTAATGTATGAACATTCCTAGCTAATGTATAGACACTCCCAGCTAATGCATGAATATTCCTAGCTAATGTATGGACATTCTTAGCAATGGTCGAACATTCCTAGGTAATGTATAGACATTCCTAGCTAATGTATGAACATTCCTAGTTAATGTATGTACATTCTTAGCTAATGTATGGACATTCTTAGCTTTTGCATGAACATTCCCAGCTAATGTATGGTCATTCCTAGCTAATATATGGACATTCCAAGCTAATGTATGAACATTTCTAGCTAATGTATAGACATTCCTACCTAATGCATGAATATTCCTAGCTAATATATGAACATTCCTAGCTAATGTATGAACATTCCTAGCTAATGAATGGACATTCCTAGCTGATGTATGGATTTTCCTAGCTATTGTATGGACATTCCTAGCTAATGCATGCTTATATCTTTTTATGTATATCAGTCAGTATGTATGCTGCCTGTGTCTCTCAAGGAACGGCTCTGATGTGGGGGATATTCATGCTCTGTTGCAGCGGATGTGATATAGTAATGTAAGACAGGGAGATCTTTAGTTGGGGATTTAGGACCTCACACTGCTCTACAATTCGGGTTATAATTATACATTTGCGACAGACATAATAATGCCCATCCCCATAGTGAGTATTTGAATCCAAATCGCCTGAGTCTCTGTTCTAACCTCTCAGCCAGCAAGCTACTTATCATGTTACCATTACTAAAAACAGGACAATCTTCAAGTTAGGCAAATTATTGGTTAATTTTTAACTTTCTTCAAATAAGAGCTCTTTGGTTTCCACTGATTACTCCTTTGTCGGCGTTTGTAGCTTAGGCGTTGTGAAAGCTCGTCATAGTACCAGGGTGCTTGGTTCGATCCCAACACGGGCCTTGCGTTAGTTTCGACAGTGGTATCGAGATGTTCAGTGGCAATGGAGAATTATTGGACATAAATTTGCCTAGAAAAACCACAACAGCCAAAAATTGCTGGAGTTGGTTCTGCAACATATTGTAAAGGATAGGCAAACTAACCTATCTACTCCTTTATTATAGTTTGACTGCGTAATTATGAATACAAACAAAATAGTACAGGGCCAATACTCACTGGAGTCCGCTGAGATATGAGCTTTGAAGGACAGGCCAGGGTTTTCCAGCAGCAGAGACGGCTCCACCTTGTAGTTGATCTGTAGAGGGTGATTGGCCAGGTTTTCATCGTAGGTGACCCAGCCAGTTTCAATATTCACAGGGCTCTGTCTGGGGCCTCGGGCTGCTGCAAAAGTCTTGGCCCAGGTTTCGGGACCTAATTAATGAAGACCAAAACAACTGACATACAACTGTCATGAGAGAGAGAGAGAGAGAGAGAGAGAGAGAGAGAGAGAGAGAATGAGCGAGAGAGAGAATGAGCGAGAGAGAGAATGAGCGAGAGAGACAGCTAAAGGAGACAAAGGCGATGGGAGAGGGAAAGATGGAAAGAGACTGATGCGGAAGAATAAAGCAAGAGAAGTGTTGATGTTACATAGATACCATCTATCTATCATCGTCTATGAAGCAGTGACTCGAGCTCCTGAGGCCCATGCCCCTTTAATGTGCTCCCCTCGCCCCCAGACACGTTTTATTTGTGTCGGCGCTCCTGCTATGAATAAAAAAGTATTGTATTCGTTGGCTGAACTTTGCTTGCGGTAAAGTCAGCCACCCAGAGTTGTTACTGTTTTATTCTTTAAATGTTAACTCCATTAAACTGTTCTTCTTTGCCAGAGATGGGATTCAAGTGCCGGCAGGTGTACAGATGGGAGTTTTACCTCTCAATGGAAAACTTGTGCGGTACCTAAAAAACGAGAGTATGCGTGTGAAGTCTCGCTCAGCTCCATGTAGTGCTCCGCTTCTACTCGAAATCAACCTCCTGTGAACACCACTAGAACGTTGCTGGTAAAGGTAGAATTAAACACATCTGTAATGCGGGCCGGGGAGGGGGTTGAAAGGTAACATTAAACATGCCTGTAATACGGGCCGGGGAGGCGGTTGAAAGGTAACATTTTATATTTTTTAAGTATCCAGAAACCATGAGTTGTAAACCCTTTGGCTCGGTACTATGGATATCGCAACCCTTCGGCCTTGATTCCATTATAGGTACCGTTAATCTGGGAGAAATGTGGCTTTTCTGCCTACCCCCGGAAGTGAACCCGGACCACAAGGAGTTCGTCACCCGGCCGCCACGAAAGTCAGGTTTAACCAACTTCGCTAATGCCTGTAATACCGGCCGGGGAGGGGGTTGAAAGGTAACATTAAACATAGCTGTAATACCGGCCGGGTAGGGGGTTGAAAGGTAACATTAAACATAGCTGTAATACCGGCCGAGGAGGGGGTTGAAAGGTAACATTAAACATGCCTGTAATACGGGCCGGGGAGGGGGTTGAAAGGTAACATTAAACACAGCTGTAATACTAACTAACTATTCACTATGTAACTAAAATCATGAGTGCTAGGCTCAAACTCGTGTACTGATACATGCATTTTCATTTGCTACTCCCCGCCCCCCTTTTTCCCCCCAAACCCAACCTTTTAGTTGATTGATATCAAAATTTTCAGGACACACAGAGGAAAATTCGCCGCACAGTGAGGGAGTGGCCCTGATGCTATCAAAAGAAGCAGACAGGACACTAATAGAATGGGAAGCTGTAAGTCCCAGAATAATAAGAGCATCTTTTAGAACAGTAAAACAGAAGGTGAACATGTCGGTAATACAGTGTTATACACCAACAAATGATAAAGATGCATCTGTTAAGGAAGAATTTTACATGCAGCTTCAAAATATTATAAATAATGAAAGAAAGGGCAACTTAAAAATTTTGATGGGTGACTTGAATGCTAAGATAGGATTAGACAACACAGGTTATGAAGAAATTATGGGGAGACATGGTCTAGGAGTAATGAATGAAAATGGAGAATTGTTCACAAATTTTTGTGCAGGTAACTAGTATGTTATTGGTGGAAGTATTTTTCCCCATAAAAGAAAACACAAGGCAACATGGGAATCACCAGACCATAAGACAACTAATCAAATTGACCAAATATGTATTAACAAAAAGTTTAGATCATCCCTTTACGATTTTAGGGCTTTCAGAGGTGCCGATGTATTTACTGACCATTTCCTGGTGATAAGTAAAATCAAGTTGAAACTAAAAAGATATATAACATCTTATAATCATAGAAACCAATATAATGTAGGCTTTCTCAGAGATAAAGAAATTAAGGAACAGTTCTCAGTTACGGTCTCTAATAAGTACCAGGTGTTGCAGCAGTTAGCTGAAGATGTCAACACAGAAGTCTGCTGGGATCAGATCAAAGGAATCTGGAATGAATCTTGCGTAGAAGTTCTTGGCAAGAAAGAGAGGAAACATAAAGCATGGATAACACCAGAAACCATTAAACTGATTGAAGATAGGAAAAGTAAAAAGGCAGAATTAAACAATAGCAAAACTAGAGCTGCTAAAGCTAGAGCTCAGGAGAATTACACAGAAGCCAACAAGGAAGTTAGGAGGCATATAAGGGCAGATAAAGTGAAATATCTAAATGATCTAGCACAAGAAGCGGAGACAGCAGCAGCAAAAGGAAACCTCAGAGAACTTTACAGTAACACAAGAAAATTAGTAGGTAAATATAGTCAGCCAACTGGATCAATCAAAAATAGTCAAGGAAAGGTACTTACTAACACTAAAGGTCAAATGGACAGATGGGTTGAATATTTTGAAATGCTTCTAAATAGACCAGGCCCAGAGGTTCCTCCAGATATCCAGCCTTTAGAAATGGAACTGGATATCAACTGTGAGATACCATCCAAAGAGGAAATTAGAAAAGCTATAAATCTTCTTAAGGAAGGAAAGGCGTCAGGCCCAGATGGTATCCCAGCTGAAGCCATTAGGACCAACATAAACACATCAACAGAATTGCTACATAGATTATTCAGTAAAGTCTGGGAGACCGAAGAAATACCAGCAGACTGGAGAGAAGGATATCTTGTGAAACTGCCCAAAAAAAGTGATCTACAGGAGTGTGAAAACTATAGAGGAATTATGTTGCTGTCAGTTCCTGGAAAAATATTAAGTAGAATTATTTTGGAAAGATTAAAAGATGCTATTGATAAAATGCTAAGAGATGAGCAGGCAGGTTTTCGGTCAAACAGATCCTGTACTGATCAGATAGCCACATTATATTATAATAGAGCAAAGCATTGAACTGAACTCACCACTTTACATTAGATTTATAGACTATGAAAAAGCATTTGACAGCATTGATAGGGAATCTCTCTGGAAATTGATGGGGCACTGTGGAATCCCACAGAAAATTATCAACTTAGTAAAGGCAACATATAAAGACATGAAATGTCGAGTTCTTCATGAGGGAAAGCTAACAGATGCATTTGAAATAAAAACAGGTGTGCGACAGGGATGTCTTTTGTCGCCTCTTCTATTTTTACTGGCTATAGACTGGACTGTGAAAACAGTAACTGCTAACACCAAGAATGGAATTCAGTGGACCCCTATAAAACAGCTTGATGATCTGGACTTCGCTGATGATATTTCCCTTCTGTCCCATTCACGGAATCAGATACAAGATAAATTAAATATACTTAATGCGAGATCACAGCAGCTTGGTCTGAAAATCCATAAAGAAAAGACAAAGATAATGAGAATAAATCAGGCAAATAGTAATGTGGTTTCTCTTAATGGCACCCCACTCCAAGACGTGGAGTCGTACACCTATTTAGGCAGTAATGTAGATAAAGATGGAGGAACTCATAGAGATATTAAAATAAGAATACAAAAGGCAAGAGGGACTTTCATAGCACTAGGGAATTTGTGGAGGTCAAAAGAAATTAAAAGAAATACTAAACTAAAAAATTTTTTTTTCTAATGTCAAATCAGTACTATTGTATGGGGCGGAAACATGGAGAACAACGAAGGCAATTACTAATAAATTACAGACATTCATTAACTGGTGCCTGCGCAGAATAGAGGGAATAAAATGGTATGATAGAATAACTAATGTAGAACTTTGGGAGAGAACTAAACAGGCTCCAGTGGATCAGGAGGTGAGGAAAAGACGCTGGCGTTGGATAGGGCACACACTGAGAAAACAGGAATGTCTTTGCATTGGAACCCACAGGGGCATAGGAATAAAGGAAGGTCAAAAAACACATGGAGAAGAGAGCTGGAGAATGAGGTTAGAAAGATTGGGAGGACATGGGGAAAGCTCCATGTAATAGGGAAGGATAGAACGACTTGGCGTGAGTTGGTTGAGGGCCTATGCTCCATTGGGGGATAGAAAGGCAGAAGAAGAAGATATCAAAATTTGCCCATGGAAGGAAGGTTGTATGCCTGGCGTGACGAAGTGGTCACGCCCTCTAAGGGTCATGGGTTCGTGTTACCGACTGCGACATTCAGTTCTCTAAAGCAATTTCTAAGCAGAACCATCAAGATCGCTGCCGGAGCTAGGGAATCAGTGTCTGTGTAGCAGGTGGTAGGCGGTTGGTAGTTTTAAAGAGAGCGAGAGAGAGACCGATGTTTAATTAAGTCGATTCTCTCGACTTTCATCGGAAAACTTGGCATAAGTCGACTGTAAAGGGCACTTTTCTAAGCATTTTGGCGTAGTGGGCATAGAGTGCTAGACATATGTTGATAGACTACTCGGCACTGGGCGGCTGACGAAGTCTTCACGTCTTTGGTCTTTACTTCCCAGAATTCTGATGCCCATTTCAGATTAGGTCGACCTGGTAGCCGAGAACATCTTGAACAAATCCGACCTGTTAGGATTTGAACACAGACCGTCAGATCAGCGGGAGGGGGGAAGGGTATGTGAATGTCGAGTGTGCTTGTATTTAAAAGAACGATTAGGTTAGTTACGTATCCTTTACAGGACGTTGCAGAACCAACCCTAACAGCCCCTGGCTATTGTGTGGTTTTCTAGGCAAATTTACGTCCAGTAGTTTGCCATTGCTTGCTGGACTGTCGGCTTTGTTGATACCACTGTCGAAACCAACGCAAGGTGCATGGCCCACAGCGTCCAGGTATTACGACGCGATTGCATCGATTTAGCCGCAGAGCCGACGAAAAAACAGTTACTTAAATAAATAAATGACTAAAGCCTAACAACACAACTTTTCTTTACAATATATTTACAAGACTCATTGCTTGTAGATATGGGGGGGGGGGGGGGGGATAACAATGATCGACCCAGGTAACAGATTCGAACATATATAATGCAGATTGTGTTTGTAATTGATTATGGGGTTTTAAGATATAT